CACCTCGCCCGCTGCCCAGCAGAGAAGAGCGAGGATCAAGCCGCTTTTGGGTCCCATCCCTCCTTCTTCCAACAAACCCCGGCACAGAGAGCTGGGGCTGCTCCTCCAGCCTTTATATCCCCCCGGCAGCAGGAGCCATCCGCCCCTGGGCTCCCGTTTGGGGACCAATGGCACCCAAAGGCCAGCCCTCGTGGGTGCGGGGAGAGGGGAGGCACAACCGAGTCATTTCCGGGGTGTCAGGACCCCCCGTTCCCGGGCTGCCCAAGGCAAAAAAAACATCCTCGTCAGCCTCTTTGGGGAAGATGTTTATGAAACTCAGCAGAAGCCGGAGACGGGGAGACTGGTACAAAGTGGCTTTTTTAATTTAGAAGGTGATAAGGGGCTTTTCAAGGCTGCTGGGGAGGTGACAGGAGCAGGGAGAGCAGGGTCCACAATCCCAATCCGGGTGTTCCCCGGCCCCTCCGCGGGGACCATCCCTGCTCGGCGCCATCAGCCCCCCTGGGACTTTGGTTTTCCGCTCAGATGCCAATGTGCTGAGGGGGCTGGAAGCCCCCGCACTCACACCTCCAGCCCAAACAGGGGCTTGAAGCATCTCCCCCCTCCTCAGCAGGGCCGGGAGCAGGATGTTTGGTCAGCGCTTGACCCAGCAGCAGCTGATGGAGCATCCTCACCCCTGACATGAGCGCAGCCGTTCTCAGCCGGGGCTGAACAACCCCCATTTCAGCCTCGGCAGTGAGGTCATCGGCTGCAGAGCCACAGCCTTTCTTTTTATCTCTCCTGCCCTTCCTCAGCTCTTTGGCTTGTGCTTGTTGTGGTGCCTTCAAGGAAATGGGCTCAGGGTAGAAGCAGCCAGGGGCGAGGTTCTGCACCCATCGCTCCCTTCCCCAACCGCAGCATCCCAGTTTGTATCCCCCCTCCCTCTGTGAGAAGGGCTGAGCATTGCCCCGCTCCTCACAGCTGGAGAACTGGGAAAACCACTTAAAAATCAACCCTGCATATTTTCAAGCCTTATTACTGGAGTTTCTGTCCCCTCTTTTTCCCTGCCAGGGCTCTGCAAGCTTCCCACGGGCTCCGTAGGAGGGATGCTCCATCTCATACCCCAAGTCTCTCTCCATCTTTTGGGATGTCCCTGGCAAGCCTCAGGGACAGTAGAAAGCCTCCAACTGGGATGTTTGAGCTGGAGTGGCTGAGCCATTTCTGGGAAAACTAAAAGAAAATGAAAGTTCTTGGGGTAGACGTTGGCCAGCTCGCTCCTGGCAGAAATTCTAGAAAAAATTACGGATCAGAGTAAAACCTTCTGCCTTTCCCCCCAGGTTCTTTCCCCGGGGAACCGATGCCACGTCCCTGCTGCTGTCAGCAGGTCCAAGACTTTGCCTTCGTGTTTAAAATACCTTGAGACTGGCACTTGCGTAGAAATGCCAGGGATTCCAGCAGGCTGAGCCCCATGCATCAGGGAGATAACTGCAGTGGGCGATGCTGAATCAGTAAATAAGCAGCTTCCCCCTCCCGGGGGAGGGCATCGCTGCTCGGCCAGGTCCTTGGCTGCAAGGACTACAGGCAATGCCCAGTCTCACCCCATTGCATCCCAGAGAGCCGCAGCTCAGGGGCCAGCTCTGGCCTCAGACTGTGGGCTTCTGGGTACCAGAGCTTGATCCCAGCAGGAGAATAAATCCCTCTGATGGGACACCTTGTGTTTGCACAGGTAAAAGCAGCAGGAGCAAATCCCAAGTGGAGAAGCAGAGATATTTACCTATGAAAAAGGGGATTTCTGCTCCCAGGTTAGCCTTTGTCAGGATCAGCTGTCCCATCTTTATTCCAAGCACAACACAACATTGGCCATGGACCAGCACAGTAAGTTCACTTTTTTGGAGGCAGAGACCAGAAAGTCCCAAGGCAAACACTAACACCAGTGGTCTTCCCCTACTGTATAAAGAGGGCACGAAAGCACATCTCATTTTTCATTATAACAAAGTTTTAAGGCAAAAATCTCTCATCAGATGGCAAGGTCAGTGCTGCCATGAAGCCTCGCTGGAGCCAGGGATACTGCCCAGGAAGGAGCAGGAGCTGCCAGAGCAGTAGAGCTGCTCTGGAAAGGCAGAGAGCATTTCCCCATCCCAAATATCTTTGTAGACCAGATTTAGCTGATATTTGTCTTCCTTGCTGGAGCCAGCTGAGGTATTTCGCTGAGGTGGCTGCAGAGCCACTATGCCAAGTGGCCTAGAGAAGGGTGTTCATTGAAAAGGCACCTGTGTGTGCCTCGGCAAACTGGAGAGCTAGTCCCTGCTCAGAGCACGTGTGCCAAGGGGTGGTCAGGGCACTGGACATCTAGGGAAGATGCCGATCAGGAAGGAATCAGTTACGTGAAGATTTAACACATGCCAGCACCCACAACTTGTGGCCTGGGAGGTTCAGGTTGGGCGAGGAAAAATTTCGTCTTCATGAGGGTTTTGCTGCCCTGGGCTGGGCATGCAGCAGTGGGGGGATCTCCACCTACAGATATTCCCCAGCCTCAGATAGGCCAACACCAGGCTGATATATCTGGAGGCCTTCCGAGATCACTTCCACCCACGTTTCCATGCCCCACTCCTCTTCCTTCTGCCCCAAAAGCAGATAGCTCACAGCTCTCAGAGGGTGGTGAAGACTCCTTCTCCCAGCTATTGCCCCTAAAAGCTCTACCTCCCACCTTGCTGCAAGACAAGCACCAACCCCTCCCAGCAAGGGTGAGATTGTATGGATGAGGAAAGAAGCCATATTGGTTCTGCATTGGATCAGGGAGCTGCACTGACTTTTGGCTGGAGTTGTCAATCTCGTAGTTTTGAGGGAGGGCTAATTTGCTTTTAGCCAAGGGACAGGACTGGGATTTAGGTGACCTAAAGCCTCAAACTGCATCTCCATACCTTGTGCCATAGAGATCCCAGGGCAAGGTGACATCTATCAAAGGGCATCCAGCTGAGGGTCTCCAGGGTGCTGGATGACACCTAAAGACATGCCAGGCTGTGCAGTACACCACTTTCCTCTGTCCCTCATGACCAAGAAAGCTGCCCAAGTTCCCCCAGAGCAGGCTAAGAAGTTCCAAGTCCTCCTGCCCCCTGCAAACCAGCTCAAGAGATGGCCATGCTGCCAGCAAGCCTCAGCTCCTCACAGGTCTCAGTTTTCCATGAATCCAGCCACCTGAATTTGCTCTGACAACAAACATCCCATCCTAAGATGTTCAGTTGGTCCAGTTCCACTGCTGCCTAAAGCAGGCTCCTCTCCCAGCTAGAGGAGAGCAACAGGTCCCGGGTTCGGGGCAGGAACATCTTGCTATGCGGCTGCTCTGCTGAGCAGAGGAGCCCAAATTTCACCACAACGGGAAGAAAAAGCATATGTGCATCAGGCATGTCAGAAAGCCCCTTTGTGGAGGGGGGCTGGGGGGCAGAAATTCCAGTCCCTGCCCCAAGGACTGTTTATACATTTCAGCCAAGGCTTGTTACATATAACTATGTGTAAACAGACCTTGGGGCAGGGACTGGAATTCCTGGCTCTGGCTGTCCGACGAAGAGCCCAACCCACCAACCCTCAAGTTGTGCTCCCTTCCTCATCCAGCAATGCCTGATTTCTCTCCCAGAAGCAGCTTCAGACAGGAGGAGAGTAGTCCAAGTTTTAGTAAACCCTTAGCTCCCCTTGACTGGTTGAGTAGAGTTCCCAGTATGGAGCAGACCCAAGTAGCTCCACAGAAAGGTAAAAAGCTTTGAGGCTAAACACAACCCCATGCTTCTAGAGACAAGACAGAATCTGGAGGGGTTTTTTTCCCCACCAGCTAGGTGCTCTAGGGGAAGTTCAGAGGTGTAAGGCTGTACAAAGCTCTGCTGAGGGCTTCTGGAAAGCAAGACATCATGATTTGTTCTCAGGAGGCAAAGCAGCACAGTTAAAGTTGCATGAAGCCTTGATTAGCTTAGGCTCCAGGAAGACTTCTCCACTTCCCCCACCAAGCCTCTCAGTCCTTCAACTTATTTTTTACTGGACAGACTATAAAAGTTGAAACCTGTGACTTAAACGGGGTTGCTGGGCTTCCGGTAGACAGTCAGAGCTCCCAGAACAGCAAGAATCAGGATGACCACACCAGCACAAGCAGCTAGCCCCAATACCATCCACAAGTGACCTGCACCTAGGAAGAAAGAGGCCCCCCCACAAGCCCCCCCCCCCCCCCTTCTCTGGGTTTGCCCTACCTTGTGAAGGCATCCTCCTAACTGGATGATCCTGCCAGCTGTGGATGAAGAGAGGTCCAACCACAACATCTGCTTCTTTCACCAAGGGATCTGAAAGGGAGGACCTCTGAGCACTCACAAGCTTGTTTGAACATCCAGCTCTCCCAAGCCTTGGATTAGCACCGAGGGGCCAACAGGCAGAGAGGCAGTTCCAGCCACCCAGCTCTGAGCAAGTTACCACAGTAGTGGCAGACCAGAGGCATACTGTGACCTACCAAGCTGGGAGGGCAGTTCTCTCCGAGCACGTCCTCCTTGCCATTGAGAGGGAGCATGGAGCCTCCTGGAGTGCCTGGCCAAGTCACAGCTCCTCATCTCACAGCAGGAGCAGACATCTCGGGTGCCTTCCACAGGAGCCCAGCTAGAAGAGAGCCTGGTGAGCAGCCCACCCTATGGTAGGAATCCCTCACATGCTTCGAGGCCTCCCACCCAGATGGCCAACCCCACCTTCCTGGAAGGTGGCACACCAGATGAGAAGCCCAAGCTCTTCATCCTTGGGCAAGCTGCTGCTCCAGCTACTCACAGGTTGCTAGCTTTGTTGAAGGAGCAAGCCTTGTTCAGAGGGTCTGGAGCTTGGTCAGCCAGGGAGATCTTGAGGTGGCAGGTGATGTAGATCTGGGGAGACCAGGCAGAGCAGAGAGGTTAGGCTGTTATTTGCCTTTATGGCTTTCCCATGCACCATGAAGTTGGTCTCCAATGGGACCACCAATTCCCCAGGGCAGCTCAAGCCCCTCTGCTTCCTTCAAGCCACTTAAGGGTTCAGCTACTGAAGCCCATCAGAAGGGCTTGTCTTGACCAGTATCAGAACTGGTC